AACTGTAGATCTAAAGGCTCACTTTGGTTGTAATGTATTTCAATATAGTCGGAAAATATATATTTTAGTCCCAAGATTTGGAGAAATACAAGACATTAATTTCAAACTATTGAGGTGTTTTGTTTTAGGTCTAAAGTTTTAACTAGCGTTTGGTTTTAGTGTTAAATTGCCACTAAAAGGTACTAACAGTGTTAAATGTCACCCGAAGTTGTCACCCCAAACTTGTTTAGGGTGGTTTATCTCGCACTATGGTTTGCAGGGTATTGCAGTGGGCGTGGATTTACTCATCTCTGATGGGTTTATTTAACGGCACTTTAGGACTAAAACCAAACATTTCTTCAAACTTTAGGACTAAAACCTAAGACTTTAATGGAATTTGAGACTAGTTTTTTTTTGCTTTCCAGAACCTTGGGACTAAAATATAGGTTTTTTCGTCTTTTTTTTAATCGAATAAATTGGCTATTGATCTTAAGCACCATGATATTAGTTTTATTTTTTATAAAAAAAATAAATTTATCACAAGATATTAGCTAAAATAATGTAGTAATCATGATAGTAGAGTGGGTGGCCCAAGTCTCCCTGAATACTATGCTAAAGCAGCACTCAAAAAAACAAGAATTAATCATTTTGCCCAGGAATATTCTCATGTAGTATTATTACATGAAATTATTCGGGTTCGGATCTAATTAGACCGATGTTTTCCACAGAGATTGGGGATATAAATACGGTGGCGTACATTTTCAATGCCAAAAGTTGACAACAACATTTGATGTAACAAATTATTCGAATCAAATATTGCTTATTTTCTGCTAAACAAAGAAAAAGAAAAATGACCACTCCCAATACATCCTGATGTAACTTTTTAAAAGATTTCAGAGAGCATTTATGGATTTTTACCAGTAGATATTTTAGAACAAAGTTTCTTATTAGCGTACTGCAAAATCTGGCTTGTTCCATCCATTAGCAGAATTAATACATTTAGAGATCAATGAAATTTTGAATAATTTCTTTGTTACTTCAACTTGACTAATGAATAAACAGTTTATTCTTAAAATGATTACAAAACACTCCATAGGTCCAAATAAATAACTACTCATGGGTCTGAACTTGAAGCGATGCTAGAGACTGAAACACCATAAGGTTCATTGCTACGATCAAAAGGTTAAACAAACGTGAAAGTTTACTATTCCCTCCGTCCCATAATTATTGTCCAGTTTGAATTTTTATTTCTAGTTCAAATTGTACTAAAAGTGAAATCTCAAACTGCACAATAATTTTGAGACAGAGAGAGTACTAAAAATGAAGTATTTATATCTATTTTCATTTTCAAAAAGATCTTTCTTGATAGTGAAGTTTCTTTACATAATGCTTGATAGTGAAATTATTAAGACATAATTCATATTCTTAAAGTTACAAATCATTCATAAGCGAATTTAATCCTTCCTTTTTGAAAAAATAAAAAAGAATGTAATCCTTCAGGTTCTCCGTTTACATAGTTTTAGTCGATCGTTAGATTAATATCCGTCTTTACTTCTTTTGATTCCCCGTATGCCCAAACCGTAACACTTGCCCCTACGTGAGGTATAGTTATGAACTAAGAAATACAAGGACCTAATACTCATTGATTTAATTGTTCAGTCGAAATTGGAGGGGTTTTTTTTCACTTATTGGACTTCTTAATTATTTGGATTTTCTCCTCAAGACCCCATAACTAGTATCAGAATTCGAGTCGAGGTTGAAAGGAATGAAGATCATATTATAAGTGTAAAGGACCTAAGATTCACTGATTTAAGTTTTTGAGTTTAAGTTGGATTTTCTTCCCAAGGGTTTATGCTCAACGCTTCCTTTCCAGAAAAAAAAAAATACACATTATAATTTAATATATAAATTTCAAAATTTAATGTAAACTATTTTTGTCGAGCGATTAAATTTTATTGAGACAATCAAATAAGATAAATACTATGAGAAGTTGTGTCTTGGTACTCTCTGTTGTAGGAACAAGAGATGTGGTGAGAATTTCATTTATTTATTTTTAATCATTCAACGCATAGAGTGATTTTTGTACCCAAACAAATAATATAATATTAATTTTTATGTTTTTTTTTTTGTATTTGGTTTTGTGGAATTCGAGTAAAAGAGGTTGTATCCTCAATTAAGCTAGCTAGTATCATATTCTTGAATGTACGACACCGACGACAATATCGTTTTCTAGAACCCGATAGTAACGTAAGTTTTACTAATAAAGAATAATAACGGTTTTCATACTCGCGAAGCATTTACAAGCGTACCATGCTCTTCAAAGGATTTTTCTTATTCAAGTTTTCCACTCTCTTTCTTTTCAAATTAAGTGCATTATATTATGTTTTACATCATACATATGATCCTCCATTTTACATTAATTTTCACAAAAAATCTTTCTGAAAACATAATTGAACAAAAAAAAAAAAAAAAGAAAAAGGCAGAAGTGCAAGCTTTCAATCCTTGGAGTGAAAGAATTTGATAAAAAAATGAAAGAAACATGTGGAGAAGATTACTAGGATCTAACATTGATGCCTCCATTCTCAAAATGGCTATTCCTAAATGATATTATGGTACAATTGAATAAAGAGAGAGCTTCAAAAATCTTGGCTTGATAACTTTTTGCTGTTTTTGTTTGTTACGTAAATAATTCTTTGTCCGTAAACTCCAAATTTTGAAAAGAAAAAGACGTAAAGAGCGGAAACAAAAGTGGCTTTTGCCCTAACGGTTTTATTTTTATTTTTGTTATATCCCTGCTTTACGATCATAGTTATTATTTGTTTTCCTTCCACGTCTCATTATAAAATTTGTTCTAGGAAAAAAAAGCAAGACACGAAAATGCATGCATTTCCCAAAATTCCTAGCTTCGATTCTAAAATATGTTTTTTTTTTCTTAATAGTTTTAGTTTAATTATCAAATAAAACATGGAAGGAGATTCACGTACGGCACCACCAGAGGGGAGAAAGGGTGGTCGGCCGACCATCGGTGATTTTTTAAAAAAATTATCTTAAAATTTCTAAATATTTTTGGAAAAAAGAATTTATACGTGTACTCGACCTTATGACATTCGAGCTAGTTTTGTCATTGAAAGGAGTTATGATATCCATCCACGACCGTTTGTTTTTTTTTTTTTTTTGAAAAAAAAAAAATTTATGTTATGTATAATAGCTTGTACAATACTATGGGCACATAAGAGCACCAGTACGTCTCGCTAGCTACATGACTTATTTGGTAACCAATGAACAAGAAAGCAAAATAACCGGTGTAGAGAGATCTAATTAAGGGAAACATGTACACAAAGAATTACTATTATTTTTAGTTACTTGTTAATGATTCTTTTATTAATCGACCTGTCAAACCTAAAACTACTTACATCTAGTTAAAGAGAAGTGATCAAACCCAATTACCTCTAGTTAATGAAGAATTAACATTCGAGTGAATTTGAATAGGTCGCTCATCCTCGTAACGTGTTGAGAATTGAGATTAGCCCCTCACCCAAAAAGAAAGGAAAAAAAAAAAAAAAAGAAGAAGAAGAAGAAGTCAACATTTTGTTGTAAGTTTTAAATTTTATTATCGTTTCAAACATGCACAATTGGATCAGAAAGTTACTATTACATTTATTGCAATTTGGTAGAGACTAAACTCGAGACCTTGGAAATGATATGTGAAACTCTTTGGGACTAACTCGTAGCATTTCTAAAGTTACGGACAAAATCAGATTAGGCGCCAAGGCGGTGAGTCTTACCCCCGGCATTTGGGTGAAATGACCAAAAGCCCCTTGCCCTCGGCATCTGTATTCACGCGAATGCTGATATAATAATTAAGACGATGACAACAAAAAATTCTTGTGGACACTAACGTCCTTGATTAAATCAATAAAAACGAGTTATTTATAGTTTTACTTCTGAAAATTATTGTCCAGGTTAGATTTTCATTTTTGATTTTCTACTTAAATTGAAAATCTGAACTGGTTAATAAAAAAAAAAAACTGAACTGGACAATAATTTTGAAACTGAGAGAGTAAATGACATTTCAGTCATTTTAAGTATCTTGTCAATTCTCAAGTTTCACGGATAGAGGGAGTTTCCAATATTATTTAGCAATAGTATTTTATTTTTTAAGAAAGATAATACTAAAGTTGTTGGAAATCGGCTAACTCCGAAGGCCTAAATGATATATGTAACTCAGTAGAAATGATTCATCAACTATGACATGAGCTACCTCGTTCTCTAGACACAAATTCAATACAAAGACTTGAATGGAAGTTGTAGCATTAGTTGATGAATCTCAAAAAGCAAAGGCAAACCTTGAATTGAACAGTAGTAGAATTGCGTGATGCATGCTGTCAATATTAATCCAAGTAGTATATGCATTTTGAATCTCTTGAAACCACTAATTAATGAGATTTCGAAACTAAAATAATTGGCACTTGGGAAGAGTTCTAGTGCTCATTGTTCTAGTAAAGAATTCTATTTTTAGTTTGTTAATCCTAGTTGATATCCGAGTGGGAAAATATTTGAACACTATTAGCATAGCACTAACACTTTTATTGTTATCCCACATTTGGTTGTCGGACCCCTAACGAAATTCAATCCCAATAGAGAGTGGATGATGTATTGTATTTAGAAGAGCCGTGGCTCCAATTTCTTGATGAATCATGCTCCATTTTCCCTTTCTTTTTGGTCTAAAAAGAAGTTTGTTTTCAGAAAGCAGCAATACATTTTATAGCTTGTAAACATTATTTATTAATTAATTCAAAGATATATAGCCGGCCATTATTAATTTCAAATTGAGCCCTCTTCTTTCATATCCTACTACTATAGTACTTTAATTAGCTTTTTTTTTAATCAAAAATTTCCATAGAATCCTATATATGTACCCTCACATAGCACCCAAAGTCTCTAAAACTCTTCTTCTTCTTCTTCTTCTTCTTTCTCTTGAATAGTTTTTATCCATTTCAAATCATTGTCTCCATGTGCAAATGGTGAAGTTCTCAAAGGAGCTTGAAGCTCAACTCATCCCAGAATGGAAAGATGCTTTTGTTAATTATTGGCAGCTCAAGAAACATGTCAAGAAAGTTAAACTCTCAAGAAAATCTAAGCAACTAGAAGACATCAACAACTACTATGATATTGGTCGATCCATTTTCGACCCGATTCGTCGCGTGTTTCACCGAATCTCCTCAGGCCTTCATACACATAGTAGTAATCCCGAAACTTTCCAGGTGAAGAGAAAAAAATATATTCCACATTCATCAACCAATAATGTGTGCGTGTGTGCGCGTGTTATTTTTGTTTATTTTTTAATTATTTTTAACGTATACGTCTGAACGGGTTCTTGGATACGTTTATGTTCCTCGGTGTCATGGTATTTTCGTGACAAAAAGAAGTATCGGTGTAACAACCCGAAGAAAGTAAAGATAAAAAAAGAAAAAGGGAAAAAAGAAAAAAACGTGTCCATGACGAAAATCGATTGTAGTAAAGGGCAGAAAAATTAAATCGAAATAGAACAATAATTATTATTAACAATTATTATTATCATTATTTTGTGTATATTGTTTGTAGATGAGGCGAAAAATGGGTGATGGTGAGGAGAGTGCGAATGAAGGAGGAGAGGATGAGGAAGAAGGAGAACAAGAAGAAGAAGAAATTCATCAAAATGTTGAACTGCTTCAACTGTTTTCAGAAGAGGATGAGGTGACCAAATTAAACACACTCTTACGTATCGAATTTTATTTCATTGAAAATGAAGTTTTTCAGTTGAGTGTGTGTGTTTTTTCTTTTTCCGGTTATACACTTTGGGACCCTTAATTTTTGGCTCTTAATTAAATTTCTAGTACTCCCTCAGAATTTAGGTTGGTCTCTAATCTTACAAAAGCGCAATCAAGTTTCTTATATATCTCTATACTGTTCTTCAATTTTCGTCGAAAATACAGATAATAAGGTATATATAACAAACAATAACAATAATGAAAATTATGATCCTTGAGGTTGGGGGATGTATTAATAAGTTATTCATTTAGCTCTAAATATCATTGATGATATAAAATTGTATTCTAATTAATAATCGTACAATAGTAAAGGAATGGTATATATATGATTTGAAAAGGTTCATGATTTGAAGGTTTAATAGTTCACTCAACAAACTATTTCTAAACGTTTAGGAGTAATTGCATTAAAAGTCCAAAGATTGAGAACTAGTTTGGAAACGAGGCAAACAATAGGGACTCAAAACGTACCGATTTTTTTTTCTTTGTTTTTTTTTTTTTTAACCCTGAAATCTAGTCATGTTGGTGCAAAGATTCTTGGGAAATAGAAATGAAGAACTAGACAGAGTGAACAAAATTGTATGCCTAATAAAGAATCTGGAATTTCTCGAAATCGAAGAGATCCTAAATACTAGATACCTTCATATCAATAATATTCAAACTACAAGATTCTCACAGGGATTAAATGAGGAAAATTAAACTTTCACAAAAGCAAACAAAAAACGAACAAAATATTAGATATAATAAAAATAACAATTTTTTTACAAAACATAATATTGTATGGAGTCAATTTTATAAATGGAATAATGTATAGATCATATGTTAGAAATTAACAGCGATCAATTAATTCTTTTCTCTCTATGTGTGGGTGAACAACATCAGGTTCAAAGATTCTTCGACAGATTGAACGAGGAACTTGACAAAGTGAACAAGTTCTATGCCGCCAAAGAAGCTGAGTTTCTTGAAAGGGGAGAAATCCTAAATAAGCAACTCCAGATTCTGGTTGACCTTAAGCAAGTTTTGTACGATCGAGGATTGCGGACCAAAAGTATGTCATCATCTACTACTTCAAGAATGTCCAGATCTTGTTCATTATCACCAGCTCGGACCTCGGATTTCTCAGGTAACTAAGCACTCCCCAATATCAATCATTTTTACATTATAATTTAACAAATAACCCCGTGTCATAATTTTCTGAATTTGTTATAATAATTTACTCCTGTCACATATAGTAAAGATTAAATTAATTATAAACTATCAATTTCGTCAATGTCTTGGGTACTTATTTCTTTTCTGGCCATGTACGGTCACATGGTACTTGTTTTGATCTTGTTTGGGGGAGGGTTTTTTTTTGGTTATAGGTAAGTCATCACGGGTGGCGGCATCAACAAATCCAGCAATAGAAATTATTATTATTACAACAACCTTAAAATAGGGAGGGAAGGGGAAATGATAATGTTGTTCCAATAATGACGGAACCGACGTATTAATTTTTTGATATTCATGAGTACCATAATTAAGCTCTTTTGATCAATAATTTTGTCGGTCTTGTAACACACAAAAAATAATAATAATAATAATAATAAAATAAAATAAAATTTTGTCGGTCAAATTAACTTGCAGTTTAGGAAATTAGTTATCAGTAAATTTATTATAATCAGAGTATTCATTCCCTTCTAAACCATGCATGCATGAATTCCCATTTTACAAATAATACTTTTATATGATATATATTTAATCTTGTTACACGATCATTATACCTAAGTTATATATGTACACTCTTTTCCAATTCCAAGTCACATGGACTAGACTCAACCTTTTAAATAACCCCTATAAATTACTTTAGTTCATAATTAAGTACTATGGTCTACTTTTGTTTGTCCTTAAGTATTAATCTAACAAAGTATATCATGAAAAACCAATATGCCATTTCACGTCTAAGTGCTCGAGGAAAGACCACTTATAGTTTAGCGCTCAAAATGGAGTATTACATCAAAACCACAACATAACAGTGGCTTGAATATAATTATTTCCAACTAGCTAGTGGAGCACAAAAGACCTACACATAAATTATTCAATCATATATATACCACAAATAAATAGTTGAAATACCATCCGCTCTTAAAATTAGTGGAGTCCACGCACAATCTATTCAAACCCATTAACTTCTTTATGCAAAACAGAAATAAAGTTTTCCTTTATGAAAATAAGTGGAAAGATGATAATTAATTAGTTAATCAATAGGGTCCTAAATGACTTTTGTTTGATTATTACTAGATTATGCATAACCCTTCTAATATAGTTTTCAACTTTATCTCTAGGTTTATTTAAATACACTTGGTGTTCACAATTCATGCTTTCCAACTTAGTATTTCAAAAATGCGTCACGCTCTTGTGAATTGAGTAAATAATTTAGGGTTTTTTTTTTCTTTTTTTGGGTCTCGACTCTCGATTGACTTAAAACGGCATCAGTAATATTTACAGGATTGCAATTGATCCATATTGACTAAAAACCGAATTATGTTCAATACTTCTCTTTCCTTTTATATCATTATTAATTTTTTTCGTGCAAACTTTTGCCATGTCTATTGAGAATGATTGAATAATTAATCATTGCAGAGACTCAAAGTGAATATAGTGAGAGCATTTCGTCAGAAACATCCCAGACTGAAGAAGTAATCGCAGCATTGGAGAAAAATGGGATAAATTTCGTTCCTGGGACGACACCAGGAAGAGGGAAAAAGACCAAAAAAGGAATAAAACCTAAAATGGGGGTGAGGATTGACATTCCAGCAACCACACCAACAAGAACAATTTCAGCAATCACGTCAATGCTTTGGGAAGATTTAGTGAACAACCCAAAGAAAGAAGGCACAGGAGAATTCATCAACAGAAAGAAGATTCAATGTGCTGAGAAGATGATTCGAGGTGCTTTTGTGGAGCTTTACAGGGGCCTTGGATTGCTCAAAAGATACAGGTTATTCTTGTTTCATGCACATAATTCTTTTGTTAGTTTCATTGAATTTTTCTTGTTTCTTTAGTTACGAAAGAAACAACATAATTAAATTTTACTTCTGTTACGAATTTTCTATATCACTTTTCGCGTAATATCTAACACGTGTCTATTTTTCTTACTGAAACCTTAAGATATTGTTAGGAAACTCGTACGTGTCAAATATTTGAAAGAGTTTTATAGAGTGTTTGTTTTTCCATCCCAACCAACTTCTTGAAAGTTCTACTCAATGTTAGAAAAAGGTTAATTGGGATTTCTGATTGCATTTTGAAAGAGAAGATCTAATGTAGAAAGATAAGAAAAAGAAGAAGAAAAAAAAAAAAAGACAAAAGACACAGTGGGCTTGACACAAATAAGAAGCATGATTATTGGCAATTTAATTGCCTTTTAAGGCTAATATTTTATATTGGATATGGATGTTGACACTTAAACGCAATTCTATAGTGCGCAATATTATGTGCATGATGAAAACGTACATTTTTCTTATGAAAGTCACTACTTTTCTTGGCAGTTCTTTGAACATGATGGCTTTTGTGAAGATACTCAAGAAATTCGACAAGGTAATTAAGTAACAATGATTTTTTCAAACACAAATTTGATTTCAATATTTGTGGTTTTATGTCTGTGTACATTTTCGATCCAAGTGTCTTTACTACCAACACTTCCGTGAATGAAAGTTGTTAATATACTTTTTTGCGTCGCATTTTAATATTTCCGATATTAAAACTACTAATTGTAGAAAGGTTACTATTATTATACAACCAGAGGAGTATGAACGCATAATATCATGAATGATTACGTTCTCTTACATAATCGATTTCCGACCGCTTGGTATTCAAAAGTGAACAAAATTTAAGCATTTTCTTTACCTTGTTAAATAGCGTATATAATGAAATTTATTTCAACTTAAACCCAAGAGAAAATGTAGAAAAAGCTAGCCGTAATATTTACGAAATTAAGTTCATTGAAACTCTAGGGTAACATGCAAATTTCCCTAAAAGATTTTGACTCGAGTACATTAGAAGTGCTTTAGGACTTTAGATGAGCAACAATTAACACATAATTTTATAAATTATAATTTTTCTTAGCTTGCAGGGAGTTGAGAAATTCCTGTTTATGTGTATATTTAACTATGTAATAAAATTTCGCTAATTCGTAAACATATTCATTTGTAGTTATAATTTACAACGGTGAGATAATGTAATTGTTGCAGGTGTCAAACCAGAAAACATCAGCAAATTATCTGAGAACAGTAAAGGAATCTCATTTCATCAGCTCAGACAAGGTGAGACTACCCTAACATGATGTAGATGGGATCTTCTTTTCTCACTTAAATCTCACATTATGTATATCTTAATTTTTGTAATAAACTTACATCATTATATAGCACAGTTGATTCACAATATCACGTCTCTTTTCCTAATTTTTTTTTATTCTAGAAAAAAAAAAAGGGGGGGAAATGTTTCAACAAATGAAGACAAAAGCTAGAGTTTGTTGCAAAACCAGGACAAATTGTTCATTGCTTGCTTGATTTTTTTTAGTACGTATTAAAACGTTATCCTCTTTTCTAACAGAAATTACTTGCTGATTATTTATGTCGAGTTCTGTTGTGTGTGTGACAAAGGTTGTTAGACTAATGGACGAAGTGGAGTCCTTGTTCACTCAGCACTTTGCCAAAGGTGACCGAAAAAAGGCAATGAAGTTCCTTCGGCCCCAACCTAACAAAGAGTCCCACATGGTCACTTTTTTTGTTGGTACTCAAATTTCTCAAGTTCTCTCCGTATCATATTTCTTTTTTACCAAATGGCGTGACGTTATATTTCATCTGCCTCATTTTAATAGTTTATTTTGTGTTACGGTCACTGTAGGGCTTTTCACTGGTTGTTTTGCTACATTGTTTATTGTGTATGCAATTTTGGCACATATGAGTGGCATGTTTTCTCCCAGATCAGAAAGAGGTTATATGGAAGCAGTTTACCCAGTTTTCAGGTACTCTTTTTTGGCTAATTTGGGTGCTACTTTGTTGACTCCTTTCACATGTATTTTGTGTAAAGTTGGTTAGTGTTTGTTATGCAATTGTCATCCATTCAGGCTTGTCACATTGGTCCCATCATTTTTTATTTTTAGGCCATGTACAAAGTGTCCATCTTTTTTAGTGTAGGGTGTCGGCTATGTGATTTATACTACTAGTTAGTTGAAGTAGTAATTAAATTTTAGTGTGATAAATTGTACTTTTTCTAAGACAAAGGGTTGTACGTAAATTTCAAATACTAACATATGATAAGACTCGCTTCACTTAGACATTTCTGACTACCATATAACGAAATATGTAAATGTCACCTTCTTACGAAAGGCGATTGATATGGGAAGAAAAACAGTTTTCTATCCGTCCTAAAACAAGAGACATGTATTGTTTATCGATACGTGAGTACTTTGCTCAATATTGATAGAGGCTATGCCATATAGCAAATTGAGTCATCTGCTACAAATGTTAAAAGTAGTTTCATTTGCTATGGCCTATTCCAAACTCTCAAGCACTTCCTGTAAACAACACAAAGTTGGACCAAATTAGGTGTGGAAAAAAAATAAATTTTCCATTAACTTATGCACAAACAAAATCTGCAACATCATGAATCAAAAAAGAAAATGAAATGCAGTGTGGAAGAGAAACCAGATAACTAATAATGTTGAGATGATAAGAGAAAATTCGCAACCGTTTCATCTTGTTCATCCTTCTTCATTTTTATGCAAAACTTTTCTACCAATGCCATGAGAAAAATGCTGAATATTTTAGTTGTGGATATTTTGCAGCATGTTTGCATTGCTTAGCTTGCACTTGTTTATGTATGGCTGTAACCTCTTATTCTGGAAGAGCACTCGGATCAACTACCTTTTCATCTTCGAATTCCAACATCATACAGCCCTCAAATACAGAGATGCCTTCCTCATTGGTACCTCCTTACTCACTGCAGTTGTCACTGCAATGGTCATTCATTTGATCCTTCTTGCACGTGGCGTTTCGCAGCCTCGAGTAGATGCCATCCAAGGAGTACTTCTCTTGGTTAGTTTTTCAATCTTTACCAGATATATCAGTCATCTCTCAGGTTTTCTGGTTCAATGTTGAATTGATGAACTGAACTTTCTCACCAATTGTGAATGTGCTGATTTCCAGATATTTGTAGCCATTCTCATATGTCCACTAAACATATTTTATCGTCCAACTCGCTACTACTTCATTAAAGTAATGCGCAACATCATTTGCTCTCCCTTCTACAAGGTACATAAATCAGCAAAATCTTCCAGCGAAAGAGAAAAATAGTCTCAATTATGTATCTGAATCATAACTAATCTTGTTCACTTTTTGTAGGTTTTGATGGTTGATTTCTTCATGGCTGATCAACTGACTAGCCAGGTAAACAATTTTAAGAAATTGTGATGAACTGTTATCTTCCAAAGAATGTGGTCAAAATTCCGGGTACAATAGTGATATTTCGCCATGTACTAATGACATGTTTTATTTCCAGATTCCATTGCTCAGGCACATTGAATCAACAGTTTGCTATTTTGTGGCTGAAAATTTCAAAACACACCACTATGAAACCTGTAAATCTGGAAAGATATATAGGGAGCTTGCTTATGTCATCTCATTTGCTCCATATTATTGGCGCGCCATGCAGGTACTGTCTCCTTTGAGTTAAAACTTTAGGTCATCCAGATTGCCATATTTTTATCCTCTTTTCTTTAGGTAGATTCTTCATTCAGTCCATTTCATACCTGACTTCTGTCCAATCACTAGTGTGCGAGGCGATGGTTGGATGAATGTGATGTGAACCACCTGGTGAACCTGGGGAAGTATGTCTCAGCAATGGTGGCAGCAGGGGCAAGGATTACATATGCCAGGCAGCCCACAGTTTTCTGGATGGTAATTGTATTGGTGACATCGCTTGTGGCGACTGTTTATCAGCTGTACTGGGATTTTGTTAAGGACTGGGGACTTCTCAACTTTAGATCCAGAAATCCATGGCTAAGAGATGATTTAGTTCTTAAACATAAGTCCATCTATTACATTTCAATTGTAAGATTTCTCAGTCTCCAGATCTTCTGCCTCTATTTCAACAGACAAGCTCAGTCATGTTTCCTCAATCTGATCATATTACATTTCGATTTCAGGCGTTCAATTTTATGTTGAGATTAGCTTGGCTGGAAACCGTGATGCATTTCAACAATATTGGATTGTTCGAGTCTCGAATGCTTGATTTTTTCCTGGCTTCTTTAGAGGTTATCAGACGCGGGCACTGGAACTACTACAGGTAAAACTTAGCACTGAAAATCTTGTTTAAGGTCATTGACTTCAAAAGCATTGTGCATTATTCCTTCAACATTGAAGATTCATCATTCAAGCTACAACTGCACTGATGTTTCCTAAATATTTAATCTTGGGATGTGATTCTGATGATTTTCTGCTACAGATTGGAGAATGAACATTTAAACAATGTTGGAAAGTTTAGGGCAGTGAAGACAGTTCCATTACCATTCAGAGAAACTGATTCTGATTGATGCACTGCCCGAATATCTTGAGTCCATTGTTGCAGATATAGCCTTCAAAGAACAGGCAGAAACACCCTTTCAAATGATCATACAAATTCGAAGAGATAACATGTTTCACTGGGCATCAAAGGATCAATCTTTATTCACAGGGCTGGCTAGTGGATCCTCATTTGAAAAACCCGGCTTCAGGCAAAAATAATGCTCAGGTGTCCAAAGGACATTTGGAAATTTCTAACCTCAACTCAAATTCTTGTAAAATATATGCATGCGTTTATCTCATCAAGTTATCTCCAGCCATTGGAAGCCAATATATACAAAATGTTGATAGTATAGAATATATGTACTTACTGATTGTTGTAAGAATACATTGCTCATCTCCATTTGAATTCAAATCAGTGGCTTGATTTGGAGCGAAGTGTAGTATTAATATCAAACCTGGAGAAAAGAAAAAAAAAAAGAAGAAAACAAAAGCGAAGGAGATGCTCCTCTGTCAAGTAATATAAAAGCTGCAGACTCATCAATATCATTTTTTGAAGAAGAAAAGCAATGTATACTAATGAGATCTTATTTGTTATTGAAGCATACCTCAATGAAGTAACCATGCAGAACAATGGAGTAGTCTATAACAAACGCAGCTGAATTCGAATTCCTTAATCAAATTACTTTTCTTCAGGGCACATTACAAATCATGGCCTCTACAATTATTCTATCACGTGTTCATTCAACGTCTGACTCTGCATTGCCAGACTGAATAAAGCTGTATACAGTATAGGATCTTTACAGGAATGGATTCTTACAAGTCGTAGGCGTGCTTCTTGTCGGATATTGCACTTATGCATTATTAAATCAGGAGAAAGCTTATATCTCTATATTTCTCCAAAGCAGCAATACTTAGATTTCAGTCGGAAAACTTCCCTTCTTTCAGCCTTTCTGCAATCTTATTTGAGAGGCAATACGCTGTTGCTTCAATGGTGATCATAGGGTTGACACCAACCGCGCCTGGAAGAACACTTCCATCACATACAAACAGCCCTTCTGCCTCCCAACTCTCTCCATTCTCATCCACCGCGCCATCTTTTTCGCTCTTCCCCATCCTACAGCTCCCCATTTGGTGAGCAGAACAGTAGTTAGTCCAAGTCTTGACCATAGATTGCGGCCCTTCTGGCGCAGTTACATCATCAAGGAACTCTTCTATTTCTTTTTCGCTAGCTCCCTTGCACTTGAACTTCAGTCCATCACTTTGCTGTGTGCCTACCTCAACAGCTCCTGCGGCAATCAAAATCCTCAAAGTCTGGCGCAAACCCACCTTCATATTATCTTTATCCACTTTGTCCAATGCATAGTTTATCCTTCCTTCTTCCCTGACTTCACCTGACCCTCTGTCTTTGATCATCGAAAACAAGTGAGCTGTTCTAGCATACTTGACCATCCTTTCCTTCATTTGAACACCAGATTCCCATGGTGTCACGGCAGCAAATGATCCAGGTGCTAATATAGGAGCTTCTACGATGGCTCGAACATTGGCACCACTTCCTACCTTGTAAACTGAAGTGATTATGCCTCCCTCATATATTTTTCCCTTGAGTTCTGAATCAGATTCTGGGAAGTAACCCCATGCCATTAGAACTGGATGTAGATGAAGATTCCTGCCAATGTTTCGGTTTTTCAACCCGCTACGGATCATTAGAGGTGGTGTCAAAAGGGATCCACCAGCTGAGATAGTAACCTTGGCTTCAATACAGATTTTCCTTGTGATATCTTCATTCATACTTTTCGCCAGCACTCCATAGCACTTTTTCCCCCTTGATCTACCAGACTTGTTGTGGAACAGAAACTTCTCTGCTTTGCAGCCTGTGATGATCACTGCACCACAATCCACAGCATCTACCAGCCAAGTTGAGTCAGTTCCCTTTTTATCTCCTGATCTGCAACCAAAGTTGCAAGAACCACAAAAATGATTTTCTGAGGAGTTCCTTGGCACAGGATCAGCTTCCAGGCCGAGTTTTTGACACCCTTGACGAAGTATTTTGTTCTGAAACCCTTCCTCAGTGCATTTCTCTGTCACGCCGATTCTTTCAGAAACTTTCTCCATTGCTGCAGAATATTCAGGACTTGAGTACCATGAAATCTGGTGGTCATTAGCCCATTCTTGACGAACAGAATCAGGTGTTTTTATGCAGGCGGACCAATTGATTGCAGAACCACCCCCTACAGTTGATCCAGCTAAGATCATCACTTTCCCATCCAGGGTTGAAAGAACTCCTCCTGATTCATACATTGCATTCATGGATGGCCCTTCAAGTGAAGAATAGTCTGATTTAGTGAAGTAATTTCCTTTTTCAACAACTACAACTTTGTGGCCGGATTTTGCAAGCACAGCAGCAGCAACACCACCTCCACATCCCGAGCCTACTATGACAACATCACATTTGATCTTGTAAAGATTGCGCCGGGTATCTTCAGTTACATCAAGTCCTTTCTTGGAGAGTGACTTCACAATTGTTGCTTCTGTTTCATGCAAAGTCTCTACCATCCCTTTCAGAAGGGGTTTCTCATCCGGTGCTGTGGAGGATGATTTATCGCGATCATCCACTTCATAATCAATGGCTTTCCATGAAGGATTCTTAGAATCTTCACCAACCTGTGGAATTTCAAGATATATCAAACTGTTTGCCTCAAAAAAAAAAACTAGTATTTCATAAATTGAAGTGAAACTAAAAGCACAGAATTTTCATATAAAACCTTAAGCAGGCAGTAATATGTGAAAACAGAATCACTCTGACTGTGTTTAAAATGCCATTTTACAACAAGGGTGTCAGAAAATCAGTGCTTAACATACTCCCTCCGTTCCATTTTAATAGTCGTCTTTGTTGAACTAAAAAAGTACACCCTAAAAGTTTTCAAGAATTATCCAACTACATGATACAGTATGAAAAAACACAGAAACCAGAAAACATATATGCTTGCTCCTGCGTACAATTGCAGAAATCAAACACCAAAAAAGACAAGTGTGCAACTTTTCTCTTAGAATTGCTGGCATGTTAATAATATTCACTGTTCATTAAACTAAAAATTGTCTTTATGCGAACAAAATCAACTTGTAACAGAGCACACGTAATTGAATTCAGCATGAAAGCAAACAAACAAAGAAAATTAAGCCAGGAGAGTAAAGACTTTTTACCCGAGAGAAGAACACATAAAGACACAAGAATTTCAGAAGCACAAATGGCAGCCTCACAGGTACAAACAACCAATGCTTCCACCATCCCTGAATCACTTTCTCTCTGTTTTCCGTCGGAATCTCCGAAAACTTATTGACAAATGGCCATTGTCTGCTTAAACACAGCAACCCACAAAGCAACAAAGTCCCAATCCTAGTTGAAAGAATCCTCAGAAGAAGTTTCACCAGAAAAATCCCTTCTGCAAATCCTCTCTTTACTACAAGTTCAGCAACCTGCTCAAGGAAAAAAAAAAAAAACAAAACATCATTCACAACATGTTTCATGAGAAACCAACCAAAAAAAGATTGTGTCTTTGAACTTTGATCATTTCTTTACCTCATCAGGAACAGGATACTGAGCACCAGAAGCTTCATAAAAAGACTGAATTGCCTTTCTGGTTTCTTCATCCTTTTCTGGGATTTCTAACTGATTATGATTCAGAGACAGAGGTGGTAGAAAAGCCTCACAAATGCTACTCAAAGTTTCCAATTCTGTTGATGACAAACCATGGCTGTACTTTGTTTCTCTTCTTCCTCCTTTCAGTAAAGGATGGCCCTCTAATTTTCCCATTACTAGAGAAATTATACCAAAGGGTATTATTACTAGAAAAAAAAAAAAAAAAGAAAAAATCACAGAACAGAATGAAGGAATTTAAAGCTTGAAGATTCAATTATGACATGAAACTACGAATGGAAGTGTAGTTTAGTTTCTTTTGTCATCAAGCAAGAAATTTGTGGCCTTTTAACAAATAGCAGGGACTTCCTCCCTATTTATAGCCCATGATTTGAATCTCTTTTGAAGTATTTCTTATTTGGTTTGTGCAAATTGGATGAGATGACATATATAACGTGTTATTATGAATTCCACATACACAGTATGATGATTTGGTCAAATGGGTTATATATGATTTTTTTTGTTTTGATAGAAAAATTAAAAATAATGTGGATTCATTATTAAATGTGTTCATGCATCATATAGGTAAGACGTTGACTATATTAATCCTCTCTGAGATATTCATTTATTTAGTGTTTTTAAGTGTTTCATTACATGAATGAACTTATTTGTTTAGCATGGAATGAGTTTGATCTCGTGATAAAAACAGTGGTGATTCAATCGACGGTTCAGATTATTAGATCCTAATTTGTGCGAGTTCATATAAATTTTACCAGTTGGGCGTTGTGATCATTTTTCATGGGCTGTCTTTCTTTTGTACAAAAATGGTTTTAAATCCTCCCATGATTCTATTAAATGCAATTTCTCACAAAATCACCTGAGGTATTTGCCATTTTTTTCATTAACATCCAAGGTATGGCTGAGTGTATGCCTTAAGTGAGATACTCTCTATAATTCACGTGTATCTCTATTTGCTGTATGATTTTAAGTTACGATTATCTGATTTAATCATAACTAGATGCTTAGTCCAGGCAGATACCCGGACGCCCCTCTATTTTAATTTTATGTTAATAGATAAATGAATTCTTAATTTGGAAAAAATAAAATAGCTACACATTTGTTTTTTTTTCTTTTTTAGCAAAAAATAATTATAAAAATAAAAAAATCATCTGCCAAAGGAGAAAAAATATTGAAAAGTACAAACGTTTCAGAAATCATACAAAAGAATATAGAGTAATAAAGGGATAAGTTTATGGACAAATTTAAATACTATTTTAATTTGATTGATAAATGATAAATGTTAGGAGTTAAAATTGTGTAGCTATTTTTGTAAAGTAGTTTTTGTTTTTCTGGATAAAAATTTTTTTTTCTTTTAAAAAGGGATGACACGTGGCAGAATGGTTAATACAATATGGTGCATTTGGAGCTAAAAATTTTTAATAAGAAGTTGCGACATCAAGATTCTGTATTCTGCTTTAATAGGGTAAAAGGGATTTGATACTAATAATAACTATATATAATTTGACGAGTCGTCTTTAACCTCATATTATCAATCTTATCATAGTACCAATTTTTCATTTCCTTAAAATATAAGTATTCAATTCATTGAAGAAACAAAGTTATGCATCTGAATTCTGGACTAATCCGCTTTCTACAATTAATACTTTCATCTTCAAGACTAATTGGGAACAAAGAAAAGTGGAAACAAGAGCACGTCACTGACAGATTCTTTCGAGATATTTGCTAGCTAAGAAATACTACGATCGACAAACAAAATATATTTAATGTAACAGTTGGATCTAGGCTGAAAAAATTAGTTATTTTAATCAAGTCAGGAAAAGTAACCGAAAACATTTAATTCCAATTTGATTTACGAATAATCTATATTTAGTTGCTCCCTCCATTCACAAATAGATATCACTGGAGAGATTTCATAAAGTTTAAGGAGGTAATAAATATCTTATTAAAATACTATAATACCCTCGTTTATTCTTAATTCAATTGTAGTCCCAATAAAATTCAGTTCTAATACAATTCCACATTAAACATCACTATAATTTTCAATATAAGGGTAATATTGGAAAAAATTAACAAAATATGCCTCGAGTTTATGAGAACGACATCTATTTTAGAATATTTAGTTTTTCCTCCAATGACATCTATTTGTTAATGGAGGGAGTAGGTAGTAACACTTGCAGGCACTGAATGAGTAAAGTCAACTCCATAACTTATGAACAGAGAACTTCCGGCTATAAGTTGACCTTCGACAATCTTAAAGATCAAAACAACATACATTCTCCACTCGATCAAAGTAAATCTCTTTCAGTTTCAGACGATAAAGTACTTCCTCGGTCCCAAAATTATTATCCAATTTGAGATTTCACTTTTAGTACAATTTGAACTAAAAATGAAAATTCAAACTAGACAATAATTATGGGACGAGTGAATAATATTTTTTGTGTATCTTTGTTTGTGATCACTTGATAATCGAAAAAATCATAATCATTGAAGACTTTTATTTCTTATTACTGTTCTTACTATAGAAAGGAAATCCGATTCTTCTTTCTTTCTTTCTTTTTTTTTTTTTTCCTTTTCCTTTTCTTTCATTGAACTATACTCACCATATTTGAACTTGAAACTTTGGATTTATACAATAATCCTTTTCTTAACCTCTACTATTTTCTTTTCACCAACCGTATTCACGTCTTATTTATTTTCAAAGAAAAAAAAATTGCATATTGGAACCAGAATCCGTAATTTCTTTTCTTATTTCAAACATGTCTGTTATCATAACACTAATAAATTCTAAGTCTTCACAAAAGAGTAATATGAATTGCAAACTTCTTCAAGGAAAAAAAAGATAATATGAAATATGTTTGTCTCGATAGATTACTTTTCTTGAAAGAGAGGGTAATGAAATAAATCCTTAATTTAAATAAAACAAAGAATTATTACCTCCATCCCAAAATTATTGTCCAGTTTAGATTATCACTTTTAGTTTAATTTGTAGTAAGAATGAAAAATAAATTGAACAATAATTTTGGGACGGATGGAGTCTAATATTTGGATCACTGTGTAAATCCTATGACTGGAATTCAAAACAAAAAGTATTAGTATACATGTATGAAGAATCCAATGTTTCTCGAGATGCACCACTTAATTACATTGTATCAATCATTATTTAATTACCAAAAATAGTTAAACAATTAAGAGCCACCAAAACAGAAACACTTCACCATTGTATCATGGTTAGTTAAACGGTTAGATCATGGGTTCTAATTAATCAAGTACAATAATTTTTATTTGTATGTGTTTCAATCACTTAAAATCATGTCCCCACTGATCTTAAGTATTCTTGCTTTAAGAAAGCAGACTCTTCTAGTACTAAGTTGTTTTCCAGCTCAAAAGTATTAGGTTGTTTCGAAAATGATGTAGCTTTGGGACATAAGGACATTTGCACTGATAATAGTTTTAGTTTGTAATATATTCAAGCAACTTTCGTAGCAAAATGTGAGTTGGTTTAATCATGATACGCCAGGTTCGCAAACTTCTTCTTTTTTTTAGTCATAACAAAGTTATTTCCTCCTTTCTAAAATTATTGTCCAGTTTATATTTTTCTTTCTAGTTTAATTTGTATTAGTGGGTGACCCACACGTTGTGCGGTTTATAAAATTTTTTCTATTTATGTAAAATAAAAATTATCAAAAAATATAAGAATAATCGCGTTGAAAATCTGTATGAAAGCAACCTATTGGATTAAAAAAACAAAAAAAAAACTCTAAGAAAGGAACAAAAATTTTAAAGGAAAATGAAACGGAGAGATATAACTGATTATTTTGAATTGTTTATTGTCATAGAACTTAAATAAAATAATATTTAACAAATCCCGTATAAGATTTAGGATAGGAGTAATCTAGGATATTTAACAAATCCCGTATAAGATTTTAGATATGAGTAATCTATAATAACTTGGATTATGTTTGAGCTTTTATTATCACATTACTTATTTTAAAACCTTGTTGCAGAAAATTAAAATAAAATTATCTTTTACGGTTAAGATGCACTATAATGACGGTTAAATCTATTTTTTTTTTTTTTACTTTCCAACTTAAGTGAGCTTCTAATTTCATGCCAAGTAAGCTATTTCCATCCTGTATTAATGTATATAGATTAAAATTGAAAAATTGAAACTGGACAATAATTTTACGACAGAGAGAATATATTTGACTTATTACGTTTCATTTATATGTTACATTAGTATTAATTTTAGTATGGGAAAGATGGAAATCTTAGGGTTTTACAAATAGTTTGTCATTGATGATTACAGACTCGTTTTATAATTGTTCCTAACAATTCAAGTAGTATTATTACTCCCAATAACTCATGTAATCACGTAGTTCTGTCAATCAAAATAGTTCAAAACACATAGTTATTATTGTAGAATTAAACGATTATTTGTACAAAGTTCACTGCATAATATTTGTGAGCTTTTCTTTAGTCAAGGAATTAAATGGTGGACGGTGATAAAATTTAATTATCACATCATTTTAGCTTAGACTTGCATAAAATTAATTCCAACTTCCAACTGTGGTAGTAGGCTATGGGTTTGATTTTGTACACAATTAAATTATTATAGACTTATAGTAAGAAATAAGTGCTTCACCCAACAGACAGAAGGGCTGAGTGTGACAGTATATCTGCTAATCTAACTAAAAAGTTATTAATTAATCAAGTTGTATTTATTTATTATATTTCATACACGACTTGTGATTATCAATTTATCATGAAATGGTCAAGTGAATGCCAATGGACACTAGGTAGAAGACCACAAAAGTCCATTGTTTTCAACAATAAATACTAAAATAAATTTGAAGTTGACTTGAAAGATCACATTTAATAAAATTTTTAAACAAAAGTAAGATAGGGACAGAAAGATAGTTAATATACTTTAAATTATATGTAAGTTGTCATGTGAGAAGATCTTTGAAGAAAAATAAATACTCTCCCCGTCCCAAAATTATTGTCCAGTTTGAGTTTTCATTTTTAGTACAAATTGAACTAAAAGTGAAATCTCAAACTGGATAATAATTTTGAGATGGAGGGAGTAATTTTTAAAAGGATTAAAAGAGTCCAAGATGTGTATGCATGCATCACAACTATGACTTTCAGATAATAAATAAATCATTATTTTTCCCAAGGATAAAATAATTTGAGTTTTTATGAGTAAGGCCAATTCTAAATAAGCTGTACAATTTGGAATTGAAGCTGTTAGAGACTATGAAAAGTTACTGTTATCCATATTTTAATTACTAATCAATGAAATGATGCATTGAAAGGTCAAGTTGGGTAACATTTTATTGGTACATATTTTCAACAACTAACTCCTTAGCAAAAGTGGAAGTCAACAAATTGAGTGGTCACCCCAACCTACATAATGAAATAAATTCGTCTAAAAAAAGTTAGTCCAAACTAAAAAAATTACAAATTTTAAATTTCAGCCAACCTAATCAAAATAAGATTCACTTTTATACACTAAACTTTCATTTGTGCCTTACTTAATTATCTTGATTAAGTTGGAGTAAAGTGATAGTAAATTATCATGAACATATTCAATCATTTTAATGGAATTAATTTTGGATTCTGAACTATTATGACAAAATTCTTTTTGAACTTAGGACTTTTTTTTTTCTTGGGAATGACAGGGAATAAATATTATGTCCCTGCTCTGCATCATATATGATGATGTTGTACAAAATAGATATAATATAATACTACTTATTTATCCCAATCAAATAATTCATATTAAATTTTTTAATATTTGTATTAAAAACAATACAAATCTTCAGACTCCATATGACTTTTTTTTTTCTTTGGATAGAGGGGAGCATTTCTTTACTCGCCTTTTCACAAGAAACAAGTGAAATTCACTACTTATTCAATCAAACTTGACTTAAAATTATCTATAACCTGTCTAGTGTATCATTTATTCTTTTGTTGGCACAAAATATATATATATATATATATATATATATATATTCCTTTAGACCTTGGACTGTGAAAATTTCTCTGTGGGACAATTATGATAATGTCATGAAAATCTATTGTCATCAGTTACTATGGAATGTGATGATAAATTTGTCCATTTAATCGTGGTTATTCTTACGTCCTTCTAATTTGATGCACACAACATTCTAATGACTGATATGTCGTTTCTCCACAACTTGTTAATGAGCAACAAAAGGGCTCAAATCAAAGTAAACTAGTCGTGTCCGTATTAAACTAAGCGGGTGATCATCCCGTGATAAAGTACCATTATACTGTATCCTCGAATAATCCCTTATAATGCTCATGGTTTTAGACGTTTATTGTGAAAGGTAATAACATTTGGTATTTCTACTGATGAAAAGTGGAAAACCTACATTTCTTTTTTCTATTAAAATTATGCACTCAGCTTTTGAAAATATTGTCACGGTTCAAACATGGACCAAGAATTCAACATCTTTTTTCCTTTTCCTTTTTTTTTTTTCTTTTTTGGTTTTCTTTTAGAAGATATTACATGTCTCATTATTAGTCGAAAAGAATGATATGAGCACACAAAAAGTTGCCATATTAAAAATGTGACTTTGTGAATAATTTTTGGCTTTCGTGTTTGCTTTATAAACCAGTCTGAAAATGAAATACATCTTGGATGCATATGCATTGATTGTGATTGTTTTTTTCTCTCTTTTGTTTAGTGTGGCCTCTTTTATATGTCTCTCGTGCCTTCATTGATTTCCCTCCCCACCCTATTTAGGTCCACAACTACAAGCAAATTTACAAGAAATATTAAAAAAAAAAAAAAAAAAAACCTAGAATGCTTAATTGCCCTTTGACCAATCTAGACAAAACATATCATTTCATAGTCTAATGTTAGAATTGGGTGTTTTTATATAAAAAGAATTGGATATATTATACACATTTTTGTATATCATAAGGATATGCTCGCAAAAAAATAATTCACATAAATTAATTTATATAAACACGAAGAAAATAAATGTGAGTAGCTTGTTTTGGAGTTTAGTGGTGAGAAAATGAGGAATTTGGTTTTAGACGTGGATGCATTACTTCGAACTTTTGAAGTAATGATCATTATTAATCCATGGCTCAAAACTTCAAAGTAGACTTCCTTTTTCCCAATAAATGCAATTTGGTGGCAGCTTGGCAAACTTGACAAATGCCAGATGCTATCAAAATTGATGCCATTCCATCTATTGAATTACCTTAATTGGACGGCGTAATTGTGTGATCCTGATTGGATGTGAGTTGTGACCATCTTTTTCTTGTGTTTTCTTTGAACTGGGGACTTAGTTTGCAACTTGCAATTGGCATTTTTCTTTCTCTGCTTATGGGTCTTTTTTCCATATGGGAGAATGGAACAGGACATTATAATACTGTACAAGCAATCTCAGATATGTTTCAAAACACAATTGATAGGGTTATTACAAAATACAAGCTTTTAGATTTCCCACAACCATAAAAACACTATTGTTTATTCTAACATATTACAACAAAGGCACCATTGCACTCTCAGTCTCTCACATCAACTTTGAATTACATATCTAAGACTTCAGGTGAATGTTATAATCACTACAACAAATACTTCCAGAGAGCAGGTCGATCTCTAGATACGAGGAGTACCCGTGAACCTAAGTAATCGAAAGATGGACAATACAAATCATTTGATCCGATTACCTCTTTGACATTCTGCGAGTTGGCGCTATCGGGATTCAGTGCCTGCCATACTTCGTTTTCCAGGGTGTCGAAAATGAAGAGGCCTTGCCCGCTCACTCCCATGACATGTTCTGCATTTCCCCAAACTTGTGTGATGGCTGTGAAATGGCGATGAGCGTTTGATGCCGGTATGTCATAGATGCTACATAAACTCCCTTTGCGCAATGAGTATTGCTGGATTTGCGAGGAATATTGCTTCCCTCCGACTGATTTTAGGTTAGTACAGCCCAAGAATATGGAGTCGCCACGAGAAAAAGTGGAGTGAATATCAACCCCAACTTTTGGAATCTTGAGAGCTATTCCTGATGTTATGCGGAAGTCTAACACATTGATAGAATCTGGGGTGCAAAAAACTCCATCATTCCCTTCCTCAGCTGAGCTTACCCTGCAGAGAGATCCACATAATAAGAAATTGAGAGATACACATCACTAGCAGGAACCATGTAATAAGACCAGATAAAACAAAGATATTATATCAACTTAGTTTGCCGTGTCAAAAATTCTAGGAAATGCAGATACATCAAAATAACGGTGGAAAGTGAACTTTAAAATGCACTCAACTAGTAGCAATTCAATAAAGAAGTACCTCTGTCGAACTCCTCCACCCAATTCAGCATCAGTATTGTTCACATGGAGTGCAACTATAGTGCGGTTAGAAGATGAAACGGATGAAACTGCTTCAGGATGAAGAGAGCTGACATCCCAAAGTGACACTGCTTCTGATTCAGCAATTACCACTCTTCCCCTATTTCTCCAATGCAAAGGACTGGAGTACTCCATTCCTGAAACAGATTTTTGCAATTCCCATCTCATTATAGGCTCTCCATCTCGAACATCATAAACTCTTATCATTCTCTGACCACTAGCTGCTGAGGCAATAAGTGGTCCACAAGGTCTATACCACCATTGTTTGTTTTCTGCCATTGTACTTGCAGACATAACATTCCTTCTATAACTAGAGTTGTTAGGAAGAGGAGCTAGGGCAGTTCTGACACTAGAATTTCCATTTTCAGTATGAAAAGCTCGTATTTCTTTACTATACAAATCCCAACAGCAAAAGCCTGAGACAGCGGAATTCCCAGCAGATGCTGCAACAACATATCTTCCAGAACAACCATCTGCACTGGGAGCACGAACTAACCAGCAATCCCCCCACATATTTGGAGAAACTCCAGTGGGAGGCTTGTAAATAGCCTTTCCCTGCAGAACAAGAACCATCATATCAATATCATCCCTGAAAATAACATGTTTCTACTTATATATGATAACATTCTACTACAATCATAATAGAGGGATTTGCATTTACAGGAATCAAATAGGGATAACTATTAATGACAAGCAAAAACCTAAAGCCAGCACTTATTTAATATTTATAATGAGCAGAGAAATGATCAGCTTGTTAGTAGAAAATTAAGCATACAAGAAATTGTTGCCTTTTAAGCAAACTGGCATCAATAGTTTTATACATGCATAATCTGGCTATTTACAAACCCTGAAATTGAAAACTTATATGATGTTTGATTCTTACGGAAACTAGATTGCAGTGATAAAGTCTCATGAAAGTAATTTGATTGCAGTATCATTCCCCTATTGGCAAGCACAAAAAACAGTCCCCCAGATACTGAATCCTATAACATCCGATACAGAAAAAGGTTTCACAGTGAAACTGGTAGTTGCTCTTTTTATGATCTTTCACAGACTTCACTTATCCTCAGTTCATTTCTTAGACATGCATCAGAACATTCATTTCTACACAAGAAAACAAATATCTTTGTTCCTCTGAATAGTCAAAAACTGAGTAAAAAAATTCAGCATGCAAGAAATGACTACTTTTAGGAAAGAACAAAAAAGAAATACATAATTTGGTTCCAGTTCAAATGAAGAGTTTGTACCTCACAATTTACTACGTCATATAATGAACACGAACCGTCATCATGAGCAAGAAGAACTGATTCCCCCTCTGAGACAAACCACCCTCCAGTGGTGGCTTTTCGCCCAATTTCATTTAGCTTATACAGGAAACTATCCTCTGCCTCCTCTTCAATGATTAAAGCAGGCCTGCTTTCTTGGCTATCAAAGTCTTCAAGTCTTTCATCTGTCATTAAATTGATATCGCTTGCAGCCTTCGATTGAGAATGTTGAGAAACATTACTCATCTCGGTAGAAGTAACAGATGCATCCGTCTCTTGGACATCACAAACACTCAAAGAAAGATTCCCAATTCTGATATCACCAACATATTTTTCATTTCTTAGAGAAGCCAAGAATTCCTTGGCAATAGGGTGTTCATCAACAGGATCAACAGACTCCTGTTCTTCATTCAGTTTACCATCTGCATCTCCAACTTCCGCCTCACTAATATCTGCATTTCCACCGGATGATTTCAAGGATTTTCTATCTCTGAGCAACTTATGATGGGGAAAAAGTCTCGCTTCTAATTCATCCGCATTTAACCCTGTAACCGAAGATTTCCCCTCACCCATTTTATTCTCTAGTATTACCTCAGTCAGCTTAGCTTTACTATCATCGTTCTCATTACTTTTCTCTACACTAGCCTTCTTATCATCATTGTTGACAACGTGACTCATTGCCTTCTCAATTCCTGAAATCTTTTCCTGAATATCAGACAGTATCACCTTTGATGAATCAGTATTGTTCATGTCCAACATCTCCTTTGTCCTCTTGATATCTGTAGCAATCCTTTTCACCTTACCTTCCAGAAAAGCAAGCTTTTCGTGAAGTTTACTGGGATACTTACCTCCAACACATGAACCACTTTTCTTATCTTCATTTCCTTCTTTCCCTTTCAAAGTCCCTGATGAACCACCAGATTTTTTCACCATTTTCTGAGTAGTTTCACCAACTTCGTTCTGTTTAAAAGGCCGTAAAACATCACCAGATTTACTTTCCATGCTTGAACCCTTCAAACTCAATCCACCACTAGAGTCACGGCCTGATTCTAGCCCTTGCCCGCAAAACTCAACATCACTTCCCAAACAAGGTTTTGTCTTTAGTATTTCTTTCAAATTGAGGTTTTCATCAGCGTCATCAAATTTAAATTTCACAGACTCTGAGCTCAAATTAACTACTTTCCTGTCAGGAATTTCATTATTTTTGACAGAATTCTTCAAAGCATACTTCCCAGCATCACTTTTCACATTTTCCCTCGAATTCCCTCTCTTCTTCTCAACTGAAGAAGCCCTAGAACTCCTAGAACTCGATAAAACTCTATTAAATTCAGAAGGGCTAGGACTCCTACCTCTTTGCGATGGAACCATCGCCGATGACGTTGACCACCGGGGACGTCCCTCCGCACGAATCTCTCCTCCTCTGTTCTCAATCCTAATGGCACCATTAAAACCTCCATTAGCTGCAGAAGCTTTATCGATTCGCGGCATGGCTTTCATAATCGGCTTCTGAGAAAGCGCCGCCGCCGCCGTCGCGGATGCAGCCCGGCCCCGCGATGTCGGCCTGGGGTTCTCCTTTCCGGCGGGTTTCTTCCTGAGGCTGTCTCCACCATTTACAAGAACTGATTTTTCAGATTGCGGGGTAAAGGATTTTGGGTATTTGACGGCGGCGGTGGCGGCGGTGGCGGCGGATGGGCCGACAATTTTAGCTCCGCCGCCTCCTCGTTCCTTCAGTCGGCGAATTGAGGACGCAGACATAATCAAAATCAGATCTTTGTCGCTTATTAGAGTTGGGTTCGGGATCTTTGTTGTTCGGAAGATGATTTATCCAGATTTTGAGGGAAGTCTTTTTCTTTTTCGGAAATGTTAAGGTAAGACTGACGTCAAATGTTTCAAGATTTGCTTTAGACAAAGTCAGGAATCCTTGGCGGGAGAAATTGCAAAAGTTTTGGGAGTTTGAAATTTGAAACACGAAAATCCCGGTCAAAATTTTAGTACAGGCCCATTGGGTCTCTAGAGGAATAAATAAGAAGATTCCTTCCTGATACTCTTTTTCTTTTATATTTTGGGCCGTCAGAAATCCCGCTCCATTTGTAGCATTTCAGAGTCCAGGACTGTTCTTATTGTTTTTATTCTTTTTTATTTTTTGCTGAAAAAAATAAATTCTTGGAAGAGTTCCGCACTGTTTGTGTCTGTGATTTTGATAATGTCATGTACATGTTCAAACTATGAACATTTCAAAAAAAAAATTGGCTCTCATTTATTTATTTTCCCTCCCACTAAATCTTGGAAATTTAGGATTTTGTTGGTGGTAATTCTCTTCCTTTGAAAATTGAGGTTTGATGGCCACAATTTATTGTGAGGTTGTCAATTTGATGTGAACACTTGGAACTGAACAAGACAACAAATGAATGAAAAGAAGAATGAGAGCAGAATCTTTTTATATATTAAAAGAGAGTTTTCAATCCGAAACATGGCGTAAAACTAAATAGGGTAATCCACGTGGCGTAAAATTAAATATCTAAGTACACATGTCGCAACCACATCTCTCCATCATTTAATGATAAATTTTGAATGTAAAATTGTAAATTTGTAAATAAACTAAATAACCTACTTATCTATCGGCTAATTAGTTGTTTAAGTAATCCGTTTACATTATCATATAGGCGTGAGACCATTGAGTAGGGAAACCATCCTACACTAATGTTACTATTAATATTTGTTAGATATATGACATATTAATGATCATCAATTTCACGGCATGATATAATTAACTATGATATAATTAACTGGTCACTAATAGTAACATTGCTACACTATTAATATGATTTTAGTGGTCATAAATATATGGGACATGTCATGGCGATTGCACACTAATATGCTGTGATATTCTGTCCAGCCTTAAATATATTTTCGTCCCTTGGTATGTGTAGTTATGCAATATCCATTACATATTTTTGTCGCACAATAAGTTATCCGTCGGGTAGAATATTTTTAAAAATGTACGATATAAAGGCACATATTAACCATAATATTACATATGCTGATTTTTAATGGGCACATATCCATTACATATACAGTAAAACCTCTCTAAATTAATACACTTGGGCCTCTAAAAATTTCTTAATTTATAGAGTTATTATAGATAAATTAATAATTATTAATTTATCAATAAATTAATATTTTATTAATTTAAAGAATTTTTCAATCATATAAATAAGAAAATATAAAAATTTATTATTTTTATATCAAGAAAAGTCTGTTACAGCCCTAGCCATAACTTCATAATTTTTTAAATGGAACAAAGACATGATAATTATAAACATAAATGAAAATACTTAAGTTAGAAACCTAAGTTAATTTTCAAATCTTATTTATTATTTTAGGTATTTATTAATTTATGAAATTGTGGAGACCTATAGTTATATGGGAGATTCTTGAGAAATTAATATCTTATAAATTAATCGCATTTTTTTCATTTTTTGTACGGGACCCGAGTTGTGACCGAGAAAAATATTATTTAATAGAGATTATTAATTAATAGAGGATTAATTTAGGAAAGTTTTACTGTATGTTGATTTTAAATATATGTATGGCATAATTTAATGGGCAGATGTATAATATGTGCCCGTAATGGAGAAAAAATAACGAGAAAAAATAATATTAATATATTATCTACATTATAGCCCATTATATAATGGGCAATCTAATGGGTAATATAAATATATTTAATAAAATCAAAAGTGCAATATTTTTTTTCTCCCTTAACTGGCAATACTAATTAATGATTTTTGTTGATTACATTATATAAAAGTTATATATAAAAAAAGAATTGATTAAGAATAATTAAATATACATTTAATTACAAATGATTACGGCATCCGACGTCCTAATAAGATTAAACTATATACGTGATTATTTAACAATCACAAAACATAATAAGATTAAACTATTTATCAACGAAATGATACTATATTTAAATATATTTTTTTTTTGTATATTATTTAAAATTATTTCATCATAGTTAAGACAATTAACACTCCATATTGATACTAATATCTTTTTCTTTTTCTTTTTGGCATTTTCCTTTGCATATGCATCTTGGAATTCAAGCGTGACACGTGATTTTCATCCATAAATCTTCTAATCTTGATGAACAATGATAATTTGCAGCAAAATATAAAAAATCAAATAGATGATTCATTATATTTTTTTCATATAATATAATGGTAAAAATTAGGTTAATATTGTGATGATAAAACAAAAACGTACAAATCAATTAGGAAGAAAATCTTCCAAAATGAGAAAAAGAATAAATGTCTTCGTGACAAAGAAACAGTAGAAGAAACATTGACTATCTAATTTAATATAAAAATTATTGGACAAAAAAAAGTTAAACACATTCACCACGAAACATCACTGATTTCCAACTAATGGATGACAGGACAATAGTAATTGTAAAATTCAGAGGTTATTCTTAAGGTTTGCGAATTATTAAATGTTTATATTGTACGTTGGTCTTCTATATTCAATTACCATATTCTCCTAAAAAAAAAAGACTTTACTAATCAGGACAATGTATATTAGGTAGTCCTATGTATTCGGAAAAAAAAAAAATCATCTACGACGTAGCTGCAAAAAGAATTAAATTTGGTTATATATGAATAACTATAATGGAACCAAGAAAAAAAAATAAAGTAAACATTATATTATAAGAAAAACATACAAACAATATTCTAAAAAAAGGTTGCAAAGAATATATAGAGAGATAGAAAATAAACATAAATTTATAAAAAGAAATAGTAAAAAAATTTTCGAGAGAATCATTATGAAAAATTAAAAGAATACTATTAAAAAATATAAAGCCACAAATCAAGAAAACCTTAAAATAAACATCATAGTTAAGATGAATGATAAGTTAAATTGGATGATTTCAAATATTGAAAATAATTCTAAATTTACTTAAAATAACAAAATACATTGACATTAAAAATTAGATAATTACAATTTATATCATTAATATTATTCTTTTTACATATATCACTTCGGCTGAAATGTTATACAATCATTAAATCATTAAGATCATATATATATTGAACAACGCGCACAACGTGCGTGATAAACTCTAGTATGTGAAGTATAGGCAAAAGTAACAAATGCCACTCAGGGATTAAATGACAGCCTAGTGATTAGGTAATTGTCATTCCTGATAATATATCATGGTTCGATTCCCATCAGGGGTTGTTATGGAGCGTTTTACCCACATTTAAGTCGAGTCCACTAGAGTGGATTTTTTAAGGGAAAAAAAAAAGTAGCAAATGCCACTCATGAACAGAGGGATAAAGGAAAGAATTTTAATTTATTTTTATTTAATTTTATTAAACTCTCCAAATTAGTGGGTAATGAGTCATTGGGTTTTAAATCCTAATGTGGAATGGTTATCAGGTTTGCACCGAAATCAGGGTCCAATTTCAAGAAGCGATTCGGTCCACAATCTCAATCTGAACTCTTCTCACAATATAGACCAGAATCTAATTCAATGAGAGTACTCCATCAAGTTTGAACCAGTGTTCGCCTCTACATTCTTATCGAAATTCTGATGACACTTCAAATCAGGATATGCCTCGCAATTCAAAAGAGACTCGAACTCAGAATGGAAATCTACAGCAGTCCAACAATTCAAATTTAGTTTTTTTTAAAAAAAAAAAAATTTTCTAACAAGTTTTTGGACTCAAAATCTTAATTTAAAATGACATTAGCAGCTCCATTTTCTGGATATTTTCAGAATTTTTTTATTAGTGTAAAGTATGTTTGGATTGTTTTTTCAATGCGTGTTTTAAATACTTTTTTACTATTAGAAATATAAAAAAAAATCTACTGGAATTATATAAAGGTATATTGGATGAGAAACTTATTATTAAAAAAAATCTGAAATAACCATCCCTAAAACCAATAAGGCAGAGGTATTTTATTTCTCCCTTTTTTGAAGTAATTCAATACTAGTAGACATATTACTCTCAGTTAGTAGCTAGTGATATTCCAAAAAAAAAAAAATTGCTTTTTTTAAGTAGAGGTTACTTGGACCAGAAAATCTGTGAAATTGAGCCCATTTTTTCTTTTTCAACAAAAAGGTCATGGAAAGACCAATCCCCCCCCCCACCAACCAACCAAAAATGAGTCATTGGGTAAATCACATCATATGATATGGTGATCAATTAACCAAATACAATTTAAAATGCTGATATATACAATTAACAAGTAGAAGCGATTCGAAATATTTGATAATAAAAATGTTCACCCAAACCACAATCATAATTTATAAAGTTGCGCTGGCTAACAGTCGCTGACCACTTCAATGATAAAGAATTTAATATGTATTCATTCCTTCAGTTATCACGTTCAAATTAGACACTTAACTATTCAACAGAAAAGAAAGATTGAGCAGAACAATTCCAAAAGATATAGTGGTAAACTCTTGTTTCGTCTGGCATACACAAAATGCCAGACGAAACGACTTTTCTAACACCTTAAATTTCCTTTTTTTTTTTTTTGTTGTTTTTCTTTCCAATGTCTAGAAATGAATAAAAGATAATGCATTTTAGTTTGTCTATCAAAAGCTAATGGACAATGTCCAAATGGTTCCTTACATTTGGGCCTACTTAAATTTACGTCTATAACATTAACATTTCAATATCGTAGTCCCAAACATTATATTTCCAAACTTTTTTGGTCCCATTTCACTGTTTCGGACCGTTGACATACCGGAATGAAGGGTATTTTTGTCTTTTAATTTAATTTCAATTTCTATTAAAATTTAAATCATTAAAAATATTTTAAAATTCAGATTTCATTATTTCATTGTTTAAATATTATTTATTAATTAAAAATATTATTATAAAATTTTAAAATTTACATTATTTTCAAAATTAATTTTTTCATTTATCATTTACCTTAAGTCAAAGTAAATAGTAATTATGTTGTACTTTTAACCTTAGATCCACTGTAAT